TGGGTCTCTGGATTAACAGTCCAGTGATAATACCACTAGGCCGTTGCCTCCCCAGCAGTAGTAGTGCCTCAAGAAAGTGAATGATCTTCTCCGTTCTGCCAGGGTAAGTGCCACCATCTTATCTCAGCTCTTTTAGGGTGGCATGGCAGCTCAATGGTTACCACTGCTGCCTCACAGCACCAGGGACCCAGGTTCAATTCCAGTCTTAGGTGACTGGCTGTATGGAGTTTGCACATTCTCCCGTATCCGCATGGGTTTCCTCCCTCAGTCCAAAGAGTAGCCATCCTCAACTGCCCATAGCATCCAGGGATGAACAAGCTTGATGGATTAGCATTGGGAAATGCAGGGTTACAGGGATAGGGTAGAGTGATGAGTCTGGGTGAGATGCTCTTCAGAGGGTCAGTGTGGACTTGACGGGCCAAATGGCCTGCTTCCACACTGTAGGGATTCTATGATTCTAGTTTATGACCTCACACTCACTGTATCTTTGCTACTGCACCCAACTCCCGCCAACAATCCACCTGTAGCCCTCTCGCAGCTGCATTCAGCGTCTTCCTCACTCATCCCAAACCCCCACACTACTGACCCAGGATAGTTTCTTCATTGCCTATTCACTCACTCAAGATACTTCACCACACTTCCCCCACCAGTACCAGTCTCACAGGTGTGCCACCCACTTTCACCTCACTCCACCCCTCCCTTTGTCTCATTCCAAGTGAAAACAGGCAGGACAGGTAGTGGGGTGCCCACATTTATCTCCTCACCTACAACAAGGAGAAACAGTCTTAGTCCTTACCAGCGAGGACTGGAATGACACGCTGAAACATCCATTTCCTGGTAACTAAAGAAAAATCATTGGCCGTTGCTGTGCTGGTTCCCCATTACCCTCCTGGTGTACATTTCGTCTTAACATGTCACAACTTTCGTCATGACAATCTCTCTGCAGAAACCAGCATGTTCTTGGTGGTTTTGACAAAGAGGGATGCCCGTTAGCAAAGGCAGATCTTCAAATTCAATACAGGTACCCTGAACACTCAGACTTAAGAATGTGATCCCATTGAGTTGATTCCAGAGTTGAGAGGGTTGGATCATGATGAGAGACTGTGTATGCTGGGATTATACTCATTGGAATTCAGAAGAATGAGGGGAGATCTTATAGAAACATATAAGATTATGAAGGGAATAGATAAGGTGGAGGCAGGGAGGTTGTTTCCACCAGCAGGTGAAACTAGGACTAGGGGGCATAGCCTCAAAATAAAGGGAAGCAGATGTAGGACTGAGGTCAGGAGGAACTTCTTCACCCAAACGGTTGTGAATCTGTGGAATTCCCTGCCCAGTGAAACGGTTGAAGCTACCTCGCTGAATGTGTTTAAGGCAAGGCTAGATAAATTTTTGAACAGTAATGGAATTAAGGGTTATGGTGTGTGGGTGGGTAGGTGGAGCTGGGTCTCAAAAAGATCAGCCATGATCTTATTGAATGGCGGGGCAGGCTCGAGGAGCCGGATGGCCTACTCCTGCTCCTAGTTCTTATGAGCAGAGTCAGTTTAAAGATCTGATATGCATCTGGCTACTTTATATTGTCCTGGATTGTGTTCCAACATGCGTACAAATCAATTTGTGAATGTACCCAAGATCCCAGTGGCCTGCCCATATACTAGATGCTCAAGTACTTTGACATAAATGTGGCTTCTAGAATTTACTGGTGAATAAAGTGTTCCAAGACATCTGCAGCTTGCCAGTGAAATCAACTTGGGAGCACAGTGCTAAGTGTGGAGGTTTGACAAAGTCGGAAGTCACACGACACCAGGTTATAATCCAACAGGTTTATTTGAAATCACACAAGCTTTCGGAGTGCAGCCCCTTCGTCAGGTGCAGTGAGAAAGGGGAGCACACAGACATTGAGATTATAGGCAGAGAGATCAAGTGTAGAGAGATCAAAAGATCACACAACTGGTGTGAGTGGAGAGTTAGATGATAATTCTCTGCAGGTGACCAAGTGTGTTAGACAGTGATTAGTGTTTATAAAGCCAATGTCAGTGCTGTGCTGGCCGACAATGAGGCAGAGTGATAGGAATATACAAAAGGTGACATCTCAGGTCCTGTAGGTGTCAGGCCTTGTTCAGAATCTGTCTCAGACTTTTAACCTGGAATCAGGCTGGTTTTATTCCGAAACCAGGAATTTATAAGATGCCATACTGACTGACTGTGACTACAAATTGTGTGCTTTTTGAACAAAATAGAATGTATCTGCAAATAAACAAATATCTCGGATGAAATGTTTCACCCCATAGATTTATGTGTGTGTGTGTGAAAGAGAGAATGGGGAGGGGGAAGAGAGAGAGGGGGAAAGAGAGAGAGAGAGTGTGTGTGTGTGTGTGTGTGTGTGTGTGTGTGGAGGTTTGAAAACATGACAATAGCTGAAAGATGTCAATAAGCACTGATTGCACAAATGAATTTGTTTTCACAACTTTCCGAAGTTATTTTCACAGCTTTAAAGGTTTATATATAATCATTGTTGGGAAGGTGACAGTGTAGTGGCAATGTCACTATTCTAACAATCCAAAATCCCAGGCTAAATTTCTGGGGACTATTGGTTCAAATCCTACAGTGGTTGCAGGTTGTAAAATCTGGAATTTAAAAAGCTATGTAATCATATTTAGTTCTTTGGATTTGATGTATTGTTGTCATACGTACCTAAATACAGTCAAAAGTTTTGTTTTGCATGCAGTACAGGTAGATCATGACATACAAGGATAAACAAATCATAGGGTGTTTAGACAGAGTGAAGCATACAAGGTTACAGCTGCACAGGAGGTGCACAAAAGCAAGATCAACATTAGATTTCAAATTAGAGAGGTCCATTCAGCAGTTTGTGGGAAAGAAATCTGCAGTCCTCATCAGGGCTATTAGGAAGGAACAGTGATCCAGCTTCAAGTGTGAATTGGAGAGGAAATCGCAGATGGTAGTGTACCTATGTATTTGCTGCCCTTCTTTTAAATTATGAAAATTTGGAAAGTGGTGCCAAAGAACCCTTGATCAGATGGAAGCTCTTCAATTCGGTCTGTGGGATCAGTAGCCCAGCCAAAAGTCCTAGGTTCCCTTGTCCAGATCTACCACTCCAACCTGAGCACAGCAGCCCTGTGCCCTGATCTGAGCATACTGGCCCCAAGCTGGGGTTCTAGGGCTCTGACATATCCCACCTTGTCCTGTGAGGTGGGCGGAAATTTAGAAATATACAATTGGGCAGGTTTAGAGGGAACCGCAGGCAAATGGGACTAGTTCAGTTTAGGAAACCTGGTCGGCATGGACGAGTTGGACCAAAGGGTCTGATTCTTTGACTCTATGTACAGTGGAGCTTGGATAAAACAGGAGGCTGCATCCTTCCTCTCTGCCCTGTGGTAAAAAAGGAATCAGGGTGCAAAAAGAGAGGAAAAGCCAGTTAAATTTATTGGACCCAAAACCTTAACGCTGTTTTTCTCTTCACAGATGCTGCCAGATCCACTGAGTTTCTCCAATGCTTCCTGTTTTTACTTCAGATCTAGAGCAGCTGGAGTGCTTTGTCTTCTTTCAAGAATCTGCCTCACTACTGTGGTAAGTCAGCACAAATCCCTTTCCCTTCTTAGTTGTGTAGCAGCTATTCGTTGCTTATGTAACTTATCTGAATGTGAAATTCGAGCTTTTTTAAGATAACTGAAGACCCACTTGAGTGTCTGGATGCTTGAAATTATCCATATTCTGCGCAGAAAGAAAACAGTTTCGTGAGCAGGAAAACAGAACATGGAGCGGCAATGCAACAGGGAGTGGAAGTCTTCTGCTGCAAAACTATTTGACACAACAAAGCATCACTATCCAGAACTTCTCTGCACCTGGATGAAGTTGGTTGACTCAGCAATCCTGAGGAACAGTTTGATGAATGGTGAAAGCAACAAGCTTTCCGTTCTGACACAATAAGCAATCTGCACAAGTTGAAATTGCTACATCTTCAAATTCAAAGAGAATGTCTCAAAGATGCCAATAATAATTTTATTTTTTTGTGTTTCTAATGGACAGCAATTTTGCCTGAGTGACCCAAGTAGAATCACAGAGCAGCACAGCACAGAAAGAGCCCATCCAGTTCATCTCTGGAAGAGCTATGTAGTTGCTTCCAGTACCCCAGTATTTTTCCACATTCTTACATTTTTTTCTTCATGTATTTATTCAAATCCCTTCTGAAAACGACTGCATCCATCATCCTTTTATGCAGTGCATTTCAAATCCTAACCACTCAGTAAATAAGTCTTTCCCCACATCGCCCCTGGTACCTGCGGCTATCGTCTTAACATACATTTTTTTTGGTGAAGTACATGTTAATTCTGCTCTCAACTGGAAAATGTACAACCAAGGAGGTCAGTAAGTGTTTTAAAAATTGATTTCTAGATTCCAATTCAAATGATGATGGTTGCGGGATCCTACAGAAGCCCAAGAATATCACAAACTCAGCTTCCATGTCCATGATCAGGAAATAATAGCTGGCATTGCAACAAAGAAAAATGCATAGCAGCACTGTGGAGAAGGAATTCATGCCTGGAGAGGGTCACTCTCTAAAAGAGTCAAAGGATACAATAATTTCATTCTTTCTGTACATCTTGCACCAATTACTGCCTGCTGAAAAAATTTACATGGTCTTCTCACACCAACTGCCTGATTCCTTCCATCTTCATTTTGTTAATGTAAATAGTATTTCTGCTCCCATTCCTTTCAAAATTAGATATATTCAGATGCTTCTCTGTAGCTCAGAACTCCATTTGAAGAGGTGAATTAAGGTCTAGTATCACACAAATATTACTACTTTGTGGTGCAAAGCCAATAAATTGGATTTTTACTCTACATGGAGTTTCGTTATGAAAGTGTTTTGTGATCATTTCTAACAAGCAAAATCCATCGATAATTGTATCTTCTCCAAGGCAGTGAAATGTAACAGATAGGGCAATCATCAAATATTAGTAGAAAATGAGCAAATCAACAGTCACAGAGAAATTTATTCCCAATAAAAGGCAAATTTTATACAATAAATTTACTAGAACAACAAAAGCAAAAACCTCGGAAACAGAAGACATATCTAGCATACCTATTAAAGATGAACACACTCACTTTAACAATACAATACAATCTATAAACATATATGGACAGCACAGTCAGTACTTAAAGGTGTGTGTGCACGTTCATTTTTTGTTTGATTACTTATGCTCAAGATGAGGATGGTAACGCCGTAATCATGAATTCACCATTTCAAGCATCTGTCATCAAGTTCAGTGCAGTTAGATGTGGGGCAAAACTTACCCTCGCCCCAACAATATGGCTGAATAACCCAAATATTACCATTTTACATTTCCAAAATTAGTGGAAATATAATTTTCTTTGGAGTCGTAGTCATCTGTTCACAATATCTGGAGTGTTAGAGAATGAGTTATAGATTCAATTTATCAGCACTGGGCAAAGCATTAGTCACTAGGCACATATCTGTAGGAGCTGGAATGAATGCCCTGAGTAATGTATCAACGTTAAAACTCTCCACAATCACAAACAGAACAAATGACAAATTCCGTGTGCAGTACATACTTCCAGTCCATTTACAGTCACCTGCAGCTTTGTATAGTATATTCTGAGGTAATTTTTGCCACAATCTGAGAGAAGCAGTGTGCAACACAAGATGACTGCATGGATTGGGCCGGTATCAGCAATGAAGTCAATTGGATACAAAGGTGGGAGCTCTGATATCACAGCTGGAAAAACAAGTCATGAAATGACAACTTTTTCCATCTCCATGAGGGGGCTGTCCAAAACGAGGTAGAGTGGCTTAGCTGTCAAAGTGCATCATAACAGATGGCACTGAGATGGGATTGGGAGGGTGTTAGGAAACAAAGTTAAAGACAAACCTGTTCTTAAGATTTAAAATGTCAAAGAAAAAAAATGTACAGGATATTACTGTAAAAATTACACATTTGATCCTGGGATTTAGAAGACAAGTTTCTCTCTTCAAACTTTGGCCCTGCTGTTTACACTGCAATTTAAAGCATTTGATCATTTTTCTTTGATAATCGGCCTGTTCAGAGATGTTCTGACACAGCTCTGTAGCAGGTGAGTCCTGAATCCAAGTGTCCTGGCTCGGAGTTACGGACACTACCTCTACACCACAAGCCTTTGATTGTTATTTCCATTCCGCTTTCCGCTATAGATCAACCTATCCTGATCCTTTGAGTGTATCTTCTTGCCAGGAGGTCCAGATTCAAGTCCCATCAGCTCCAGAAGTGTACAATAAATTCTGAGCAGATTGAACGGAAAATATAATTTGAGTGGGTCTGGCTGCATAGACCACACTCACTCTTTGGTCTTTCTACTTCAGTCTTATAACAAGTTTAATATCAAGAAGAATACCTTGCACAGCAATAAAATGACATCAGTTGGCAAGTAATGAGTTATGAGGGGAATCAATCAGAAGGTGTTAAAACAATCAAGAGCTGAGAGAGAGAGAGCTGTTAAAGCAAATCAGAAAACATAAGGAAAGAATAAACTTTTTCTTTTCTACCTAGGATTTGACTGGGAATGGAATAATCAGCTTGACTTGGGGAAAGATGGTTAGTAACACAGAGCCCAATGGTGAAAGACATCATAACACTGGCATGATAATGAGATTTTCCTTTTACGACAGAGATGCTAAGAAATAATTTCTGCCATTGTCAATGAATTTTACAGTAATTGGCAGATTTGTACTGGCCAATGGTGAAGCAGCTGAGCTCTGTGCTTCTAAAAAGCTGCTTACTGTTCTCCTATTGGGGACCTATAGCACATATTATAGAAAGGCAAATCAGCAGTGCCTGCATGTCACACATTTCACTTTGAAAGCTGCTCCTTGGTGACCTAGACCCAATGCAAATAAAAACAAATAATCATGAGGAAATTCTTGCATGTCAAATAACAACAGCTCCACTGTTACGAAAGAATGTCCCTGATAGTGCAAATCATATTGGCTGCCTTAGTTTGGTTTCAACTACATCTAAGAAACATAAGAGCGCACCCATGACTGATAGTGGAGCTGCAGGCTCCAGCTTTTGTCTTAACCTCGGTGGTGTGAGTGTTACATGGGTATTCCGCTTGTGTCCAAACAGGTTATGTAAATTGGGAAATAGTGGAACTCAATAAGCAAAACCCGATGTGTTCATGAAATGTCTTCTTTCACCACGTGGTCTAGGAGGAAAGAGAGAGGAAAAAAAACAGATAAAGAGAAAGAGAGAGGTCCCAATCTGTGTCCAGAAACTGTTTCTACTTGTATGCAGGCAAACCAAACAACTCTGGCTTGAAATCCTCCATGGACTTGAGTACCAAGGTGGCTGACTTTGTCAGTTCTGGGTCAAGCTGTGGATCTGGAATCTGGACGACTTGCATTCCTGCTGCCAGTGCTCCTGTAACTCCATTAGGGGAATCTTCAAACACAAGACACTAATAGAAAAAAAGAAAGCATGCCTATGATAAAAAAAACAACATACATATTTCTCACACTTACCCCCAACTTCTCAATTTCCCCCTTCCCTTCACACTTTCATCTAGACACTAACTGCTGGCTTTTGACTGGGCTCTCCACTTGACACCCTCTGGTATTATGCTCAACTAGCCATTCTTCATGTGCTAAACTAGGCAATGAAAGTCAACTCACTATTCAATCATAAGGGATATCACAGTTGAACTTTAGAATCATCATCATCACAGAATCCCAACAGTGTGGAAGCAGGCCATTCGGCCCATCAAGTCCTCACTGACCCTCCAAAGAGCATTCCACCCAAACCCACATCCCCCCACCTACCCTTATAACCCTGAATTTCCCATGGCTAACCCACCTAGCCTGCATATCCGTGGACACTATGGAACAATTTAGCACGGCCAGGCCACCTAGCCTGTGCATCTTTGGGCTGTGGGAGGAAACCGGAGCACCCAGAGGAAATCTACACAGACACCAGGAGAATGGGCAAACTCCACACTGACAGTCACATGAGGCTGGGATCGAACCTGGGTCCCTGGCACTCTGAGGCTGCAGTGCTAACCATGGAACCACCGCGCCGCCATCCCCTTTATCTGTTCTTTCATCGCATCTCATAACATTTAAAAATGGCAACCCCGATAGCTTTCACGCCCCCAACCTTTCTCTCTAGCTCCTGAGAATGTGAGGAAGATTGTAGCTTCCAAGCCATTTCCCTGACTATATTCAATCAATTCAGCACAGACCATGTACAAGATACTGCAAGGGACAATCACACAGATAACTTAATCTCCTGTGATTTTAAAATGATTTTAAAAGGTTTCAGGAGAGGAATAAATATAGCATTTTTATTTTATTATTTGTTAATGCGATTAGCACATCACCATTTAGGTCAGCATTTACTGTGATCCCTAATTGCCCAGGGGCCAGTTAAGGGTCAAGCATACTTTTTGCCCTCTCCACACTTCATGTCAGCTCTGATGAAGAATCATCTAGACTAGAAACGTTAGCTTGCTCTCTCTCTCCATGGATGCTGCCTGACCCGCTGTGATTTCCAGCATTGTTTGTTTTCAGTACAGATTCCAGCATCTGCAGTCATTTGCTCCTACACTTTTGTGGGTGTGGAGATCTAGGCCAGTCCAGGTAAGGACGGCAGATTTCCTTCTCTAAAGGACATTCATGAACAAGGTGGGTTTTTATAACAATCAACAGTGGTTGCCATTAGGCTAACAAATATAAATTTCACTATCTGCCATGGTGGGATTTGAACCCCATGTCATTCAGAACATTAGTTCAGGACTCTGGATAACTATTGCAGTGACATTACCACTATGCCATCACCTCTCCATTGTGTAGTGCCGAGCATAATGTGACATAAAAAGAAAATACAAAATTAAGGCGAAGTAAGTTTCTCAGATATTTTTTCACACACAAGCATGCAATCCAATCTCTACCCTGCATCTTTAAATCAGCGCATTATTAATCAAGTGATCAAAGTAAACAGTAACAATCACATTTTGTTTTCTATTCAGTTTACAGGAGTCCTTTTGAAATCTTTGTATTGAGATTTCTCATATACTTCCTCGTCCTAGTTACTTCGAAACATACTTGTATTCTGCTCAGGTTTAACCTCAAAGGCTGTGCAGCTCTCCTTTGTGTTTCAAAATGCATCTCAATTATGGGTTTTACATAAAATAATATTTCGGTGACAGTGACCCCTCCATGTTAGCCTTTTATCATGCCCCCGCCCCCGCGGACAGTCCATCTCCATTAATGTCTTGAATGCTTCTCACAATATGCACGTCAAAATAAAAGCAGGCCTTGCCAATTGGCTTTGTTGCAGGGTATATATCCACTCCACAGCATTAACGCAAGTCTCTAAAAAGCCCTCAGTCTCTGCTGAAAGCTCTGAAACCACAGCTGAGATATGGTCTGACTTTTGTGAGCAAGCTTAAAAGCTACACAAAATAGCATTATCATTCCCTTTCAGAAATCTTTGGTATCCAGACATTGCATAGAAATGCATTTGACAAGTTTGCAGTGAAAGACCTAATTGACTTCAGTGATGTCTTAGAGCTAGCTGTATGGGAGCAAACAATTATTACCCCAGTAATCTGAATAACGGAAGGGCTTAACTAATTCCCTGAAACTAGAGTTAATTAAAACTCTTCATTACCATAGGAGCCACGTTAATGACCTATAATCATCGTGCTTATTTGTTACAGTATGCGCATACTCGTCATATTTGCTTTTGACAACAAAGAACGACATTTGTTCCTCATCAGCATTGAACTGGTGTGCATGACAAATTTGGCAGAAGGAAAAAAGAACAAGATATTGCAAAGCACACACAGAAGTACTTAAGTCATTTTTGTTATCGCCAGAAATGGAAAAAGAGGAGAAAAATTGTTCAAAGTTGGCAGCTAAATTTTAAAGTATTTCTTATTGTCACAGATGAGAGAGTGGATGACTGTTTTGGCCTCAGCTTCATCTAATAAAGATACAGGAAATAAGACTGTTCACTACTCACATTCACCCGTGTCTGGTAATACAGATTTCAAAGGATATTTGTGCCAAAAATTAAACTTTCTCCAATTCATGTCGGGTCCATTAATATTCCTATGGTGCAATATTATGAAGTAGGCAGCTCTGAATATTTATTGTGGACAGTGGAATGCTGTACACGGACAAAGCCTACACTCATGCTACAAACCAGAAAGTTACGAGAGCAGTGTCAGATTAATAACAATCTAGAGGTGCAAACATGCTGAGAATTGTTCCATTCTCGCTCTTCAGTAAGTTTACAGTGTGGGTTTTGTGACATTCCAAAAGTACAGAGCAACGCTGTACTTGCCAAGGAGGACCACAACAACAGAGATATAGACAATGCTCAGAAATATGAAAACGGATATCTCTAGATCACATATCTCACATTTAAAGTTTCATTAAGACCCCTGGTTTTATAAATATGCTAGCTTCCTGTTAGCTTCATATGTCTCTCTTGTACAGAGCTTTTCCGAAAATTTGGAGATGGATACTAAAAGCTGCACGAGTGAATCTGAATGCAATGGTACACATATTGTGTGGCTCAGTTGGCAGCATTCTCGCCTCTGAGTCTCCAGGTTCTACTCGCACTCCAAGATTGGAGAACAAAAAACAAGACTAACACTGCTTTGTAGTATTGGGCAACATGGGCAAATTGGGCCGAAGAGCCTGTTTCCATGCTGTAGACCTCTATGACTCCATGACTCAGTTCAGGGTAGTCTGCACTATCAGAGATGCCACATCTCTGAGATGAGACAATAAACCAAGGTTCCCCATTTGCCTGCTACAGTGGATATAAAATATCCTAGGGCTCTACTTCTAAGTTGATCAGAGGAGTTCTCCTTCTTGTCCAGGCCAATATTTCTCTCTCAACTAAGAGGAGGCTGAGGAGTGATCTTGGAGAGGTTTCTAAAATCACGAGGGGCATAGATAAGATAAATAGGAAATGTCTTTTCCCTAGGGTAGGGGGTTTCAAAACTAGTGGGCACATTTTTAAGGTGAGAGAAAGATTTAAAAGGGACCTGAGGAGCAACGTTTTCAAACAGAGGGTGGTTCGTATGTGGAATGAACTGCTGGAGGAAGTGGTCGATGCAGGTACAGTTACAACATTTAAAAGACATTTGGATAAATACCTGAATAAGAAAAGTTTAAAGGGATATGGGCCAAATGCAGACAAATGTGGCTAGGTCAGTTTAGGAAGCCTGGAAGGCATGGACAAGTTGGACCAAAGAGTCACCAAAGGGTGACTCTATAAACGATGTAATAGCAGGGCCAAATGCTAGAAAATGAGATTAGAATTGTTAGGTGGTTATTTTTGACTGGCACAGATTCAATGGACCAAAGGGCCTTTTTCTGTGCTGCATATCTCTATGACTCTATGACTGTAAAGGACAGATGATGCAGAATCTTAAAATATTTTAAGGCAGTGATAGATAAATTCTTGATTACCAAAGGGATGGAAGATTATTGGAGTTGAGTTAAAATCAGATCAACCATGATCTTATTGAATGGGGACAAGTTTAAGTTTGTGAAACTTGGTCGGCCTGGACAAGTTGAACTAAAGGACTCTATGGCCAAAACAGATGATCTGATCAATGTCACACTGATTTTATCAATGCGTTGAGTGCAAAATTCGCTGCTGTGTTTCCTGCATTACAACAGTGAATACAGCAAGAAAAGCACTCAACTAGCTGTAAATGATTTGGGAAGCATGTGCCTATATAAATCAAGTACATTTTTTCCCTCCTGGAGACACCACTCTCAAATGTCTCCTTTCACTTGTTGAATGAAGCTGTCCCGGAGATTCCAGTCTGCCTGAAGCCCAGTGAACATTCTGATCTTTGAGGATGACCCAATGGACACAACAAGCAGCTGCTATTATGGAGAAGGTGCATTCCTTTCATTTGGTCTAATAGAGGACCATGACGTTCATGCTGGCAGGGCAGAGAGGAGATTCAGCCAATAGCAGTGAATGTGGAGGAAAGAGTATGATAGCAGAAAGCTGGATGAGTGATTGCCAGTTCAACTTTATTCCTCACTCGTGTTTGCTCCTATCAGGTATTATGCTATCACAATATAAAACATAATATATTGCTGGGGAGGCAATGGCTTAGTAGTGTTATCACTGGACATTTCATCAAATGGCCCAGGGAATGTTCTGGGCACCCAGGTTCGAATCCTGCCAGGGCAGATGGATGGATTTGAATTCAATGAAAAAATTCTGGAATTAAGAGTCCAATGATGACCACGAATTGGTTGCTGGATTAAAAATCCATCCAGTTCAGTAATGTTCTTTAGGGAAGGAGACTGCCATCCTTAACTGGTCTGCCCTACATATGACTCCATACCCACAGCAAAGTGGCTGACACTTAAAGTGCCCTCTAGGCAATTAGGGATGGGCAATAAATACTATGACACACTC